AATCAAAAATAAATATTGGAGATGCTTTTGAAAAATGGAGAGCGGTTAGAACAAAGAAAGGTTTACAGACTGATGCAGAGCTGGATAAACACTGAAGCTTCAGTGTCCACCACATGGCAACCTGTGTGAGCATCAACTCTAGAGAAGAGGGGGCGAGGGGGAGACAGCTCTCTACAATGTTTAGAATTTGCATGCATCTTTGTTTTTGAGTCCCTAAAGAATCAAGAATCAACTATCACCTAGCGTTTTTTTTCCGGGCAGAAAAGCGTTGACTGTGCACTCTGAGTCGCTTAAATTAAGCGTTTGTGCGCTGAGAAGAAGAGTGCTGCACGTCTGTCCTGTCTCCATGACAACGGCCACTGTATGACAGACACTGCTCTGTTACTGTTTACTGCATGTTTTGTATTTGAGATCGTTTATTTCCCGATCAGACACGGAGCGAGGAACAGCGCCTTTCAGAAAAGTTGAAAGATTTTCAACTTGAGTGCTCCGAACAGCCCCACAACAAAAGCGCTTTTTTCTCCAGGCGGCCGCATTCCACTGCGAATGCTCTCTACTCATTAAAAACATTTGAAGAAAAGACGCTGCGGCTCAGAAAAACACACCAGGTGGAAGAAGTATATGTTGCCAAATTGTGCTACTTATAAGTAAATATCTTTAGCGGGCATAGAAAGAGTAAATAGATTAAATTTGATTGCATCACGCCACCCCTGAATGAGTCAGGGCCCCAGGTGGGCCACCCCAGTCCGGAAGGTCTGGACGCGCCCCTGCATACAGTGACACATCCACTTGATAACAACCTGTCCTCCTCCCGCTCATTTTATGACGGACTTTAATCGGGAGGGACACGTCAGCTTGAGAATGAGTCCTGACATTAACGGAACTGAGACGTTTACTGACACATGCTGCAGTCTGAGAGACACCGCCAGTCCAAACCAGCGGATCCGGAGCGACTCTCTCTGACGGACCCAGGACGGACCTCGTCTTTAACGTCCACCGACTACACAAAGTGTCAACGACGCTTAAGTTCACACATCTACTTCAACCAGCTGGTTACAAAAAGATGGGGGAAAGGACGCTATGGACGTTTAAAATGAAAATATGAGCTCGTAGCTTCAGCTTACCTGGTCAGTGTTGCGGCAGTGCTGCTGTCCTTTGATCAGGATGCTGCTGCCGCCTCACGAGTCATAAAGCGGTCTGTCTCCACCGGCCTGTGCTGCCTGCTGCCGGTAGGGGGAGTACGAGGCGAGTTTGGGGCTTCTTCTTCTTTGTGTCTGTTTGGCGTATTGCAATCCCAATTTGAAGGTGCATACCGCCACCTACTGTGCCGGAGGATTTAGAAGGGCTCCAGTTTTTGCAAGATTAAAGGACCAATCAGTAAGATCTGTAGTGACTGAAATGAGCTTATAAGGAACACAGGAATTTAATTTAATAAATATTAATTATTGAGCTGTGGAAAAGGGGTAGGATTAAATAAGTTTTATACTTCTTCCTACTCCTTTTCAGGCATATCAATTGAATATATGTCATTTTCTTTTTCTTTTTTGTGAAATAATTTGAGCATTGTTTTTTGGTTATTGTATTTTCGTGCTTTTCATTTTGTTTTGTATTTTTGATATGTTTAATTGTATTTGATATGTCTGAAGTAAATTTAATCAATCAATCAATCAATCAAATGATAATACATTAATACAACACTTTATTGTCCCCCAGAGGGATATTTGTTCTCACAGCTTTGCACGGTTGGTAAACATGAAAAGAACATATAACACAGGTAGAAAACACATAGCAAAGAAAGGGCCAGTCAGCTTGGAAGCTTGTTTAGGGATTCAGTCTCTGAGGGGTCCAGGTCAGGGTTCTCCAACATCTCCGACCCAATGGCAGAAAAAGAAAAGAGTGGATTGAGTGAGTGAAAGGGGTCCTGGGCTTTGGTGAGTTCTCTATGAGTCAGGGCTCTGAGTTTTCATATGGCCGAAGTCAGTGCCCTGACAGTCTCACCTCACCTCCTGTTGCTGACCTTACTATATGATCAGACATTAAGGAAACATGCTATGTTGAAGTGCTGGCTTCTCTGACAACAATGCAGCAGCCAGTATGTTCTCCTTCTAACTTTAGATTCTGGTCCTGAATGCTCTGGATTTGTTTGGACCAGAGAAGGTAGGCAGTTTTAAGGCACCCCCACACGGCCGTTTTGGACGCCCCTCGGTTTGTCAGATATGAGAGCAGTTATCAGGTCAAACCAACAGGTGTTGCAGCGATGGAAGCGGGCGAGAGAACTGGTTCAGATAGACGTGATTGTACCCGACCTAAAAAGCCTCTGCATGTTTCTAATAAGCTCCACGAACAGAAACGTGCTCAAACTAGGATCAATATTGGAGATGCTTTTGCCCCAAGTAAAGGAGTTTAAGTATCTCAGGGTCTTGGAAAACATTGCTGGGGGGAGGGAAGTCTGGGTTGACTTACTTCACTTGCTGTCACCGCGACCCAACCTCGCATTAACGGAAGAAAATAGAAGGATGGGTTGATTTTTTTTTTCCATTGTTTTGATTTCTGAATAATTCGTTTTTATTTTCCATATTCAGCAATTCATTTGTTTTCCATCCTCATGAATTCTCAGATTTTTCTGTCAATATTATATTATTTACGTCACACTGACTACGTTCATCTACGTTCACATGAAACACTCGAGCTTCATTATTGTTTGATGGTTTGTGAGAGGATTCAATCCTTCCTCATCAGCAGGGGGAGCTGTGGCTCAGTTGTTCCTCCTTCAGGTTCGATGTGTCCTTGGGCGAGACACTTACACCCAAGTTGCTCCCGCTGCTTCATCGGTGGTGTGTAAATGGATGAGTTACTTCTGATGGTCTCTTTACCCAGCAGCCTCTACCATCAGTGTGTGAATGTGAAAGCCCTTTGAGTCGTCAGAAATAAAGAACTCTGTAACAGACAGACGTGGAGGCCAACACGAGGTGGTGTAACGTTTATTATAGGCTGACACACACAGAATAACATGAACACACGCTTGAACCGCCATGCTGGATCAGGCCCGTGTCACATGACAAGATTTATCCACAATATACCTTTAAATGGCGGTTACAGATCATGACAGACGAGATGACGAATGAAGACGAGAAGAGTTAAGGCGTAGGTCGTTAGTGTTTGGTCTTTAACCACATCCTCCTAAAATATCACTTCAACGGTCGATGCAAATCAAAAAGGATTGTATCTGTTGGCACTACGGCTGTCAGCGATAACGAGTTAATCATGATTAATCTGGTGTTATTTTGTCCCTTCAGGCTCTCCGTAGATAGTCGTCCTCAGTGTCTCCCTGTAGTCTCAGTGATGTAAAAGAAGGACACTGCTGCATCTTTGAATGTCTCATTTCACTTTCACAAACTCTCAGACAGCTCAGCTGACGAGTCCAAAGTAATATCCACCTTATGACATCACACATTGACCTTTGTTACCGTTCATTTGAGCTGTTTGACCTCAGTTTGGGATCCCTAACCACTTCCTGTCCTAACCTTCCATCTACCAGAAGGGCCTTACTTTATTTCAAATTAAAGCTCAGCTTAAGAAAGTTCTAACTTTCAAAATAAAAGCAGAGAGCAAGTAAAGTACTCTCAGGCTAAGACAGTACAAACTTTCAAAATATAAGCTTAACAACTGTTATTTTTTAAATGCGAAATATGGAATTTCATAAAAGCAGTTAAAAATGTGATGAATCGCAATTAAAAGGATCTCAGAAAATTTCATATCACCACAAAATATTACGATCTTTTAATTCATCCTTTATAGATTTTCGGACATGTATTTGACACCGAGAACGTGCATCTTTTAATATCTTTCAGGACTTTCAGCAACCTGCTTCCATTCTGCGATTAATCGCAATTTAAAAATGTTTTTACAGTTTCCCAGCCGAGATAGAAACATCTCTAAAAATCTCTGATCACGATGAAATATCTTCTCATTGATCCGTTTTTGCCCTTTGACTCTGACATCTTTCATCCTTTCATTTCTCTCTCCGGACTTTCAGTGGCCTGCTAACATTAAGCGATTAGTCATGATTAACTGATTAATCGTTTGACAGCCCTAGTGGACACACATTAGGACAGTGAGGTCTGGATTTTAAAGTAAAAGCAGTTCAAGTCTACATTAATAACTCTAATGTAAGAATCTATATATTTATCTGTTCCCTTGAATATGTGAAGTGCAGAATGTCATGAACAGACGGGAGGAGGGAAACTTAACGAGGTTCAACGTTTAACATTCAACATGTTAGTCTGAAGTCATGACTGATGACATCACCACAGTCAACAAAGAACTAACGACCTGATCTCTATTAAAGGCACTGAGTACACAAAGCTACTTCACTGATCGCCAAGCGGAACATTCTGGAGACGAGCATGAGTCGATTCATCGAGAGAGGGGACGTCTGCAGAGCGTCTCGTCTTCAGGGGATCTTTGTCAGGTCGGAATCATCGATGTGAACCGCTTCGCTAAAATACTGGCCTTAAAACGACGACAAAGATATTTAATTATGATAGTTGGATTTGTAGAAAGTAGTGTTGTAGTCAAGACCTCACCAACAGAGACCACGACGAACCCAAGACCAGAGCACTCCGAGACCGAGACAAGACCAAGACCATAAATATCACAGAAAAATCATCATCTTGTATTTAGGGGGCGTGTCCCTCACCGTAACACCGGGAAGGTTTTCGATCGTAACCGAGGGATAAAGATAAAACTACAAATTAATTAAAGTTATTTCTTCTTTTAGAAAGAGGTGTTTTCCTTCTCATCACAGTAATGACGTGGAAAAATAGCCAATCAGTGGTGGTCTTGATTTAAAATACTTTCGATTCCGTGACGAGGCGAGACCTTCAGAAAGTGGTCTCCAGCCCGGTCTTGTTCGGGTACTCTTAAGTCTAGTAGGAAGCCGGCTGTGCTCAGAATTCGTGACGCCGGTGGAAAAGCTGCAGAAACAAAAACAACGTGGATTAGTCTGAAGGTTCACTTAAAGGAAACCAGAAGCTGTTTATTCACAGAAAGAAAAGAGTGGTCGATTTGAACTTCCTTTGTCAGCAGTAAAAAAAAAATATATATATATATATATATATATATATATATATTTCAGGTGAAGAAAGTGGTCTATAAAAGGTCCACTTGGGACCACAAGGATCCAGGTGGAGGTGAAATCTTCACCAGGCAGCAACATAAAGACTCATCTGAAGACACAAACCGTGAACCCTGCCGCTGCCCTCTGGAGGCGGAAACTAGTTGCACACTGTGTGCAACAAGGACAAGAAAACTAAACCAGATCCTGTCAGGTAACTGTGATCATGATCCCAGCAAAGGGACAGAGTCGGTCTGGAATACAGAGACAAGTCACAAACTTTAAATGAGCCAAAAAAAACAAAATACTTCTTTTTTGAAACAATCAACATAATTAGAGTAGAAATATTTTCTTTGCTTTAGTGACAGGAGATGATTAAAAAGATTTTAGGATTTGATTTTTCCCCATAAAATATCCCCCCCCCCCAAAGCTTTTGCTATGAAACAAAGTATTTCTCTAAAAGCAGCTGTGAGGATTTGGCGCCCCCTCTGGACGAAATATGTAGTCCCATTGAGAGCAAAGCTGATTGTGATCCAGAGTTGATTTAAGGACTGAAATAAAAAGGATTCTGGACTGGCTTCAAACGTTTACTGATTGGCCTCTAAGTAAATAAACTGACCGAATGTGAAGCGAAGAGATCATCACGTGTTGCGTCAGCAGGTTATTCAAACGGCTCCACACTACATGAAGCAAACGAAACACAAACACGATGTGACGGCAGCGTCTATAACACAATCACGTGTTCACGTATCAACGGGTCGCAAACATTTAAAGTCCCGGCTCTGACGTCACACATCGGGGTCAACAAGTGGCTTCTTTCATCCTGCAGGGCTGCAGGGTTACTCAGGTTCAAATACGAAGAGTGTGAAGAGAACAGCTTGAACAACATAACGGGAGGAAAAAGTGGTGAATGAGTTAAAGCTCTGACGCGGCGCTACATGAATAATACAGAATCAGGCGTCCAGAGAGTCTTTAAGGCTAATCATGTCTAATTATGGCTTCTTTATAACGAGCTAGCATTCTGCACGATTGTTAGTAAAAGCAGATGTTAGAGTTCAGGGATGATATCTACACATCGAGATATAGTCGGACAAGAATCCATCTGAAGCCAAACCCCTGTCCTGAGGGATTGGGCACTTGAGTGTTGAACAGGCACTGCACACCAGACGACGAGACGGGCGACAAGACGACAAACGGTGAGGTAACAGCTAGCGTGCACCTGCTCCTGGAACATGCTAAGGATCACAGTGAGTGGCGCTCTGCTGAGCAGTAAGTGAGACAGTTTTGGTAACAAGTTCTCCGAGTTATTTTCAACTAACCTAAAAAAAAGAAAAAAGAGTTTTAAAAGCAAAGAGGAAATAAAAGCTGCCACACCGTGCTCAGACTGCTGCACGCTACTTCACTGACGGCACTCTGAGTGATGGACGATAGACTGGATTATAAGGAGGAGGCGGGGCACTTCAGTCTGCTCTCATTGGGAACATATGCGACACCTGAGGAGGAAGAGGTGACCTGCAAACTTTAAGCTTGATTTATACTTCCGCAGCGAACCTGCACCGTTGGCGTTTCTCTTAACCTGGCGTGCACCTCCTCAAACATGTGACCACGTGTCGACACAACGCCAGAGTAGAGCTCACGGCAGCGTGGATTGGATGCAGAAGTATAAAGCCGGCTTTAGTCTGACGCTGAAGCAGGTCAAAGGTCAATCATTCCTTGATTCCCCCACAACTGAAATGATAAATGATCTTAAACAGGATCAGGTTAAAAGTGGGCGGAGCCCCAACTGTAGTCCCTGAACTCAAATACTCTGTTTTGGGTTATGTGTACAACTAAAAGGATTGCAGCATAAAACTCTGGTGAACTAGTGAAGTGACACAAACTCAAAACGTCTACAAACTAAAGAACTAAAGAGAGCGTCTGGTCCTTCAGGGTTAAGGTCAGAAATTTCAGAAAAACGATTCAGAAAAACTCTTAAAAACATCTAAAAAATAAGTTGGCATCAAGTGTTTGTGGTCAAAGGCAGTTTGCATAAGGGGTCAGAGGCTGAAAATCATCATGCTTGAGGCAGATAAATATCGGTGGGTTCAGAGTCACGAGTCTGTGGAGCGTGTCCTCCACATGGCGGTTTAGCACTGAGGGCTGATCATCTTCTGCAGCAGAGGCATCTGTGGGACCAGAGGAGAGCAGGATCAGAGACCTGAGGGACCACAGTCCTTTTCACACATGTAGGAGTGTCTGACCCGGACTTTTTTAAAATCCCACTCGCCCCTCACAGCAGGAAGTTCTCCTGGGGACGCTTCAAGTCTCAATTGGTTCAATCAATCACAAAGCCCCCCCCAAAAAAACATGCAGCTAAAGGTAAAAACCTGATTTAACATTCTCTTAGAGATGTGAAGAAATAAATTAACACATGTCGAGAGCAGTGCTGTCTCACCTTCGTCAGATCCATCCCGGTGAGGGCGTTGACGGACACGGGGAGCTCGGCTAACAGACGGTTCACCTCTCCAGTCACACGGCTGCCTTCTCCGCTCAGGATGACGATCTCATTGACCTTTGCCAGCGGAGCAGCGATCTTACCGGCAATCTGTTACAACACAGAGACACACCTGATTGTAGTTATCTGACCCTTGGTTTGATTTCCCCAAGTTGCATTTATAAGACCTGAACCACAGACCTTGGGGAGAGCCTCCAGGACCAGAGCCGTCTTGGCAGCGTCTCCGTACTGCTGGTAAGCTTCGGCCTTCAGCCTCATCTTCTCAGCCTCCGCCTTTCCCACCGCTTCGATGGCGGAGGCCTCGGCCTCACCGATAAAACGGATCTTCTCCGCCTCTGCCTGAGCCGTCAGCACCGTCTTTGTCCTGGTGATGAGTTCAAGTGTTTTTAGTTCAGTCATGTTCTGTTACATTAGTAAGTATTCAACGTTCACACATATCATATAATAATAATAATAATAATAATAATAATAATAATAATAATAAATGCTGTGGGGTTTGTTAGGCCTCTCTTTCTCTCCTGAGAGACACTCAAACCTTAACTAAATGACCTTGTGGTCAAAAGTATCTGTTTATATTTATCTAAATTAGCACATTTCACTTCAAAAAACCCAACAGGAACATTTGCTGCTCTGACAGGGTGTGTTGGGACATCAATATGTAACTCTGACACCTTGTGTTTAAAATGGGTACTGCAGTTTAAATTCTAAACATTGTAGAGAGCTGTCTCCCCTCCCCCCCTTCTCTAGAGTCAATGCTCACACTGGTTGCCATGTGGTGGACACTGAAGCTTCAGTGTTTATCCAGCTCTGCATCAGTCTGTAAACCTTTCTGTGTTCTAACCTCTCTCCATTTTTCAAAATCATCTCCAATATTGATCCTAGTTTGAGCACGTTTCTGCTCGTGGAGCTTATTAGAAACATGCAGAGGCTTTTTAGGTCGGGTACAATCACTTCTATCTGAACCACTTCTCTTGCCTGCTACCATCACTGCAACACCTGTTGACCTGATAACTGCTCTCATATCTGGCAAACCGAGGGGCGTCCAAAACGGCCGTGTGGGGGTTCCTTAAAACCGCCTACCTTCTCTGGTCCAAACAAATCCAGAGCATTCAGGACCAGACTCTAAAGTTAGAAGGAGGACATACTGGCTGCTGCATTGTTGTCAGAGAAGCCAGCACTTCAACATAGCATGTTTCCTTAATGTCTGATCATATAGTAAGGTCACTTTATCATTTCACTCACTACACATCTTACTGATTGGTCCTTTAAGGATCTATATTAATTTTGCATGCTTTGTTTTATTGTAGATTTTATGGATTTGCTGTGTGTTGAGAACTTTGTTTTATGAAGTTCCTGATTTATTTACTTTTTAGAAACGTTGTTTTTAATTGTGTGCATGTTGCATGAATGAATGAATGAACTGTGGTGAGCCGGAGAGTCACACCTCCAACTTCATTGCGGATGTGAAACAGGTGACAGACATTTAGCGAGCCGAGATCTACAGGAGGCAGCGTGCAGGTAAGGATGCAAAGAGAGATGGAGAAGGACAGCGTGTGGACCGCAACAGATAAACGGGAGACAGCGTGCAGCCACAGCACGATGACTGCAGAAGATACGTCGGCTCCCTGATTATTACCCTGATTGATCGGCGCCGGCTATAACATAAAGAGGCACAGAACACACTACTGGCCAACCTCCTCACATCTCTCTGGACTGGAAGTCATCAACTCAACATGAACTGGTTTTCGTCCTCGTGGAGCAAAAATAAAAAAACTAATAATTTATCAAAATGGATGCATATAAAAGGAGCTAACATTAAATCCAAGGTTGGGTGTTTGTTCCTGCAGAGTGTCTCCTGTTTCACTACCTGACTGAAACGATCATATTTACCCGTCATAAGGAGCCCTGAACAGAACGGAGACCTAAAAAGAGAAGAAGCCTTCCGTGTAAGGAACACTCACTTCTGTCCCTCTGCCAGCTGCTGCATCTTGTAGGCTTCAGCCTCGGCGGGTCTCTTCACAGTGGCGATGAGCTCCTTGTCAGTACGATTGATCTCCTTCTCTTCGATTGAGATCTGCTTCTTCCTCTGCACCACCTCGATCTCGATCTCCTCCAGACGGATCTTCTGCTGCTCTTTGGCCGCCTGCAGCTCGTACGCCAGCTGAGCCTCTGCTTTCTGAAGAGGCAGCGGGTTGTGTTTTTATTTTGCTTTAATGTTTGATTCTAAAAAAGATAAACTCAATCCAAGATATCTAACTCTACCTTTGTGTTCACTTCCTGATTGAAGGAAGCCTTCTGCATCTCCAGCTCTCGCTTGGAGTCGGCCATTTTTGTGTCGGCTAAGAACTTCACGTCCATCATTTCTCTCTTGCACTCAGCTTCCTGTAGAACGTGTGCAAAGAGAAAACAACAGGGAGATGTAGAAGGAGCAGTTAGTTGGTTTGCTAATGTGAAAGCAATTAGAGAACACGTTTGTAAGTGCTCGTCTCACCCTGATGCCAGCGTCTCTCTCTGCCTCTGCCACTCCGATGTCTGCATCCCTCTGCACGGCAGCCGTCTGAGTTTTTCCCAGAGAGCTCAGGTACTCCACTTTATCGTACACATCCTGTCAGCGTTACAAAGACACAGCATGGTACCTATTAGATCACTCTGAATCAAGGGAGGTCAGGCGATACATGCAAAATGAGGGGAACCTAATGTGTCACCTTGATGGTGAAGCTGAGGATCTCGATGCCCATGCGGCCGACATCGGGAGAGGCCACCTCTCGCACCAGAGCAGCAAATCTGTCTCTGTCCTGGTAGATCTGTTCAACGGTCAGGGTGCCTGAGAGGAGGGAAACACTGGTTAGTGCCATACTTGTACTTCTAAACTCAGAAAATATAAACGTCATTAGCTTAGTCGCAAACCACACCCATCATATCAGGGTGCAGAAATGCAGTTATAAATCATTCAAGCCGTGAAGATGCTGCACCCACCAAGGATGGCACGCAGGTGACCCTCCAGGGTCTGCAGGATCACACTCTTGATCTCGACCACAGACTTCCCCAGGAACTGTTCACAGGCGTATCCCAGCAGCTCGTTTTCTGTCATCACCTTCACCTGGTGCCAACGAGGACAAAGATCGTCAGCTGAGCAAATAAACACAGGCAGGAACACAAACACAGGCACATGGGGGTGTGGCACACGTGACAACATGACATCCACTCGCCTCTGTGTCATCATTCAACAACCGTTAGCACGTATTCTTTTCTTTACTGTTAAACTGTCAGTCATGTATTTAAACAACAGAGTTACACTTCAGACATCCTGAGACTGTAGACACACTTCAGGTGTGAAATCGTTTTAACTCTCAGACTTTATTGGAGATTTATAATTAAGTGTAAATGTTTCAGTGCGTCGGCGAGTTATCTGACCTGACTTGTAGCTGAAGTAATAACTCATAATAAAGTAGAAAGCTGCTTTTAATCCATTTCTCTTTGGCTCATAACGACCAGTATATAACGCGCTGATTTTAAGAGGTCTCACAAAGAGAAAAAGTGCTCACATGGCATTTTTTTTGAGCGCCAGCTTCTTTTTTTAAATTGTTCTAATGAATGGAGAGCGTTTGGAGAAGCAGGCAGCCGCCCGGATTGAGAACTTTTTTTTAGCGTCTCTCTTTTCCAAATGAATGATATTCCTCGCAGTTCTTTTCTGCTAAGGATCATGTCTTGTACCCTCATCCTCCTCGCTCCGTGTGTGATCGGGAAATAAACAATCTAAAATATAAAACATGCAGTAGAAAGTAACGGAGCAGTGTCGGTCATACAGCGGCCGTTGTCAACAGACTGTTGTCATAGAAACGGACGGACGTGCTGCGCTTTAATTCTCAGCACACAAACGATTCATGCAAAATGTCCCGAGCGCACAGCCAGCTCTTTTCAGCCCGGAAAAAAGCCAGGTGGCTCTTAAATAGTCGCCCTGCGTGATGATTTCTATCATGTTCAGCGAAGACTACAACGGTCAGTTTCTGTGCAGCTGTGTCGCTCTTTTGTTACATCTGTTTTCACTTGGTGGAGTTTGCTCTTCTACCAGCTACAGTACGGTAGTCGAGCTCGCAGCCTACGGGGAAATTTTGAGGTACCAACAGTCACATTGTCCGCCGCCGGTCACTTGTTAAGTTTAATTTAGGACTCTTCAAATCAAAAAGCACTCCAAGAGCTTTAATTACTGAACAATAAACCACTGTTGGTGTCAGCATGTTATTCTGGTATATTGGTGGTGTTGGTGTTTAAGATGCAGCGCAATGTTTAGATGATAAAAAAGTTACTAAAAGTGCGTTTTATACACCACATTATACGGTACTAGAAGAAGGTAGAAGGTAAACTAGAAGATTATATTCCCTCCATTAGAAAACGAAACTGAAGGACTTCTAACAGATTCTTGTTGATCCATCATCTACAACAACTCAGCGATGTATCGTATGCTCTCCTTACGAGGTCATAAACAATGAACGGGGACATAGTACATCTGAGGGAGGTCAATCAGGGGAAAATCATTAACGGGATCATTTACATCTAAAGAAAAGAGACATCAATGAGAATGACCTGAGGTTCACACAACAAGACAGAAACAAACACAAGAGCAGTCAGGCACACAAACAGAGGTCACTCTGCAGTCCAGAGAGTCAAAGAAAAGAACAAGACATATAGTTTTGGTTGAACTCCACTAGAGCTGTAAGAAAAGAGAAAGTGAGCTGGGTCCTTAGGCGAGAGGTCTGCACATGGTTTGGTTTGCAACATGCACTCATACCACGAACGAGGGCAACACAAAGTAAGGAAGAAAAAATAAATAAAAATTGTCGTCATTTCAGGGAAACATGTGTGAAAACAGAGGAGGCTGCAAGCCAGCCACACAACCACACACAGGCCAGTTCAGATGGACAGCAGGGGGTGCTGTGCTGCAGCCCACGCTGGGATTAAGACTTACATGCAACTGCAATCTCTACTCCCGACATTAAACCCCCCCCCCCCCCCTCTAGCCACCACCCTTCCTCCTGCAAACCCAGAGCTCCTCCAAAGGAACATAATGTACAGGACATTTAAAAAGGAACGGAATCCAAACTTTGCCTGACAACTATTTCCTCCTTTTAATTTCCTCCTTAAGGGCCAAAACATCCTTTGAGGGTCAAAGATCTGAGATCTGTCCTTCAGTCTGATATGTTTATGTCCTTCAGTCGATGTATTTCTTTAAAAAGTTAGAGAAACTCTTAGACTTTTAAAGTGTAAAAATTAGAAAGAGTTTAACATTTGACTGGGTGCCTCCCTCTCCGTCTAAATGTATGTGTCTCTTTACGCTAAGCAGAACACATAACTCCCATCGCTCCACACTGGCTTGGGCTTAGGTTAGATCAATCAAAGAGCGGCATGACGAGCCTCTCTGTGAAGTGAACTGTGTGAGAGTGAGGGGCTGCTAAGCTCCAAACAGAGGGCTCATTGTCAGCATGCATGTAGGACAACACAGAGGAGAGAAACATCGGCGTGACTGCGGCTGAGACACAGACAAAACGAAATATGCATGCGGACGAAAACGAGGGAAATGGTTTGCTGAAAGAATGATGTTACAAGTTCTTACAGAGGAAATCCACCTTTAAAAACATGTTCACTTTACCACATTATTTTACACGTCTGTCTATTTACAAGTCGTACATTACTGAAAGATATTCAGGATGATGCTCAAAGGCACTCGTGCTGGATTTACAGTAGGAGGGAGGGGTTTACGGCCGTCGTTACTCACAGTCCCCGTGTTAATGATAGCGTCCTGATCAGGCTGTGATTACAGGTACGCTTTAATAACAGAGCGTTTCATCTTTCATTGTTTGCTGAATCAGGAGACTGTTCACAACACGCAATCACTGTGTTTACCGTCTTTCCACTGGTAGAGCAAACACAACATGTCAGTGTCAGTGAGCGCCCCAAAAAGATGCTTTTTCTGTTCAGTTTTTTTCTGTTTCGACGATTCATTTGGTAGAGCCTCAGTCGACTGCCAATCTCATAGCATCACTCAAGGATCATACCAATCCAGCTCCATGGGGGTGCTTAATATCTAATTTGACATCCATTAGTCTGTTCTGGGGGGGGGGGGCATTTCCAGAGACAGCATTTCCAGCATGGAGACCGCCATCGATGGGACTCCAGCACCCCCTGCAGGAACAGATGGGGGACATCCACTAATCGTCCATTAATATTTACAGTCTATGATCAGAACAGGGGGGTACCTCCTTTCAACTCTGGCTCTCATTGACTATTATAGGCCGAGAACAGTGAAGGTCGTATTGGCCACATGAGGAATCAATCAAAAGGTCAGAGTGCGGCCTCACTTTTCATGTATCGCAGTCGCATTCCTTTTTTGCGATGAGCGCAAAAACAAAAGATTTTCAGCGATAAGTTGATGATCAGGTCCGACATTTTTAATCCTTCTTCAGGGACAACTCTTGCTGTTTTAGATTCTTTTTTTTAAATATCCTCCAGCATTTTGAGCCTCCTGTTGTATCTCTGTTATATTATAGGTCAAAGTTTATTTGACTTGTTGTAAATTTAAAGTAAGAATTATTTGAAGGTGGATTTTCTCCTTAAACCCAAAATAAGTTAATTTGGCACCGAGCAGGATCGATCAACCAAACAGAAGACAAAATAAAGAAACAGGTAAATGCAGACCAGGGTGGACCGGTACCCTCCTCTCGTTAAACTGGGACCAAGTTCAGACTGAAAGTAACACTGTGTCAAGAGACCACATGGGGGCTTCAGTGGTGTTTGTTTACATTACTTTTTAAAATGTGGCCTGTATCAGACTCCAGTAAGAACCAGGTCGCTGTCCTGAAGTGACCCACATGTGTAAAAGAACAACAACAAAGACGCAGTACACCGTAAAGAGACATAACTTCAGAACAGGCAGAACAGATGATCTACGACCTCCTGCAGGAGAACAACGTGCATGCTTTACACTTATCGCGGTCCGCCCTCAACAAAGGCTCTCATTGGCTGTTATGAGTTGTAATCAAAAGGTCAGCGAACAGTCTCGCTCGACTTTAGGAGAAATCTGACCGATCAGGTTGGACTATGTAAATCCTTAGTCGGGGACAGGCCTGATCACCATGGTAACTGATGCTGAACATTTAACCTACCAAGCATGTTATGCTCAAGATAAGAAATCGACCTGGATGAAACTCCGCCTACTGACCAATCAGATCTCTGGATCACAGATCTTTGTGAGTTAGCACTGATCATGAGAGGAAACGACGCAGCGTTTACTGTTATTAAGTTTTATTTAAAAGGATTGTGACATATTAAAGCTTTACAGTTATCACAACCGCTGCAATCTCGTGCACGTAATAAATTAATTCATGAATTTGTCTCGTTTCGCTTTTCTTTGTCGCTATTTCGTTGGTATTGGGAATATATTGAACTACATGTAACAAACATTTTCACGATTGCTCTGTCTGCCATTTCCACATCGTTCTTTTGACATCATGTGCTGCCTCCCCAGACCTGGTTTACATGGAAATCTCCCGCTGTGAGATGTGTGAACAACCATCTCAGGAAGCTCTGAGGGGGCAGCCTGTCTGACATTCTCTGGACATTTTCAGGAGTGCAAGTGTGAAAACAACTTTTTACATGCGGACCAGGAGGACAGGTTTGAAGGAGTAACAGATAGAAAAGGGACTGTGTGCTACTGTCAGTCTGAATGCAGGATCGGTCAGGGTGGTGCTCAGATATGAGGGTTCTTCATGCAAACATCATGAACATCTGTCTCAGTGTAGTACAGGTGTGCTTCTTCACTCCAGTCCTCTGTATGAAACCACACCTGTGCTGTGATCATGGGGGGGATGCCAGAGAAAAGGAGGGTGGGCAAGAAAAGGGTGGGTGTGTGAGGGTGTTAGTGGAGTCTGATCTGGCATTCCCAGGAAAGTGTGGTGATTTACCTGAGCCACCCCAGTGACAGTAATAGCTACACCCTCCGCTGTCTCTACATCCTCACACTTGGGCTGCAGGGTCATAATCTCAAGCGTTATCCTGTGAAGAATGTGGAAAAAAAAAAAAAATAAAAAAATAGACAAAGCAAATGAAGGGAAGGGCCAAGAACACAAGGAAAAGAAGAGGACAAAGTGAAACCATTCACCCAAGGACTCCAGATCACTAACAACAAGGCTAAATAAGACGCTGTCTGTTTAGAACTCAAAGATGCATTGTTTAGATTTCTGTCGGAATTTGTTTGCATCCAAAACTTGCATTTTGCATCATGTTAGCCTTTGTTTCAGCCATTCTTAAAGCCTTCATTTAGTGACCCTGTTGCCAATGGTGACTCAGAGTACAGCTGTATGGCGATCCCGAGCGAGGGACAGCAGAGTCCCCCTTTAACCCAAGATAAAAATCCGTGAAGGGGAGAAAAACAAACACACACAGACGTTAGATTGTTAGTTGAACCACTTTCTTGGGGCCTCCTTTGGTCTCGGGCACCAGCGACTGCTTGCTTTTTTTGAGGGGGAGGGAGGTCTTTCGAGATGCATTACCTGAGCCACCCCTGTCACATCCAGGGGAACACCCTCCGAGGTTTCGATATTCTCACAGCGACAGAGGATGGTCATAACCTCCAGAGACATTCTATGCAGGCAGGCAGGCGGGCGGGCAGGCGGGCGGGAGTAGCAGAGGCAAAACAGTAAGTTGGACAACAGCTGTTAGGAATGTCAGTAACCAAGGTGAAGAAGAAGAGAGGAGGGGGAGGGGGCAAAAGACACAAGCTGACCTCCTGTTTTTGCTGCTTTTGGCCCTGAATGATGTTTCATGTATAACGTGACACCTCAGAAACACAGAAAGGCTGCAGCTAGGCCTGCACGCTGTGAGATAAAGACCTGATGTGCATGTTATCTGTCGCTCCATTTCTATTTAGATCCGCTGTTCTTCATGTAAGCAACACGCTTCTCCTGAATCCAAAATAAATCTTTTTTTTTTCATCACCATTGTGTTTGTACAAATTCATTCATGCCCGCTGATATTTAGTTTGGGTTCATCTGACGGCATTAATGAGAACTGAAGCATGAGCATTATTCTCAGGTCGGCAGTGTTTTCTCTACTCTGACAAAATAAGAAACTTTTGGACGCATGATACGATCTCTGTTAATGATCGTTGGTATAACGATGTCTGAAGGTGTTTTTTTTTAATAATGTGTGCACACACTGAAATACTCCTTCATTACTAGGGAAGGGCATTAACAGTCATCTAAACCGTCACATACTCACATTACTATATGAACGAGCACTGTGCACGACGGACACAGACCTCCCGGTGGTACGCTATGTTTCTTGTTGTGTGTCGCTCATCAGTGCTGTGTGTCTGTAGGGCAGCCATCTTTCAATCTCAGTTCTGAATGAATGACGTGATGAGTGACTCTGTGGTGAGACGTGTTCAGGAGTCTGGAGTATCAGACACTTTACTGTTCTGCTCTTTCCTCAAACATCTCATGGTTTATAATCCGACTTCATAAACGCCATCAACTGTCTAAAGCCGTCTCCTCTCACAAAAATTAATGGAAGAGCATCTCCAGTCATCATTTTGGTTGTTAGCAGGTTAATCTTCTTCGCTCTGGTAGCATCACAGCAACGTGTGCTAAGAGGGTTAGCTCATGATGTGACGCATACTTCCAGTTATCTGTCTCTTGTTGGTTTCTATTCATGCTTTTAAGCTCATGTGGTTGAACATCAAACTAATGGTTCTATAATATGAAATATAAACGCCACGTATCTTGCACGACCGCCAATAAGGGGGACAAGGGAAATGCTTTCTTGGACCCATTTGCACAGGAAGGGCCCATGTAGGTTAACAAAAACAAAGAAGAATACTTCTTCACATTACTACATTGAGCTCATTACGTGATAACTTTCACAGCCCTAGCTTTCTTCTCTTCTCTTTGTGAGTGTTTAAATAAAGTAGGACAAAGAGCAAGATCCACAGAAGACGGATCATGTGAGTGCAGACAGGATTCTTGATCCATGATGACATTAGTTTGAGATTGCACAGGAATGTTTCTACAAACAATCCCTGTCCTCCTCTTCGATCGCAGCTGCTGACGTGAGATCACATTTCAGAGCAGATCGGCTTATTCTCACTTAAAACCAGACTTGGATCCATTGTTTATCAGAGTCATGGGATACTAGAGGCTGATTGCAGCAAGAGACTCTCTGGCTAACAGCTCCGCCTCCAGGAGAATTAGATCAATGAGTCACAGGCCTGGGCATTAACATGATTACTGCATCACAAGCGGGAAGCCACACGGCTCCATCTGCCTCTCTTATGCGCCTGCACAGAGGGCTTTTTAGCTGAAGAGGCCGATACTCCGCAGTGAAGTCACATCATCCCTCCTTTTTTTATCGTCAGATGTTCAAACTGCACATGAGCAAAATGCAGAGCAAATATATAAAGCTTGTGTCTCCCATCAGGGATTTAGAAGTCCAGTCATGCATTAACTTTATTTGACTGTCCAGGACTACCATCAGGTCTCCTAGCAACTGAACACAAAGAGCAGCACTTAATGGGAAATGGGATAACCTGAAGGAGACACAGTGGGGCTGAGACGGGGGGGGGAGCAGGTTAGCAAAGAAGAAGCAAAGAGGCAAGAAGAAAACAAACCAATGAAAACCAAGAGCTCAGCAGATAAGGAATATCATCACAGCTTAGAAAAGGTTCATAGGATTACTACACATCATCTGTTACAGCTTGTCTTTAAAACAGTCTGCAAACACAGCTCATGACAAAGAGGAGTTGAAAAACATACATGCACAGACAAACAGGAAGTTGTGATCAACGAGATATGAACTGTCACTGAGAGCTGATCACATGACGGCTCAGGCTGCATCATTCAACACAAGCAGCTCCACTGATGTTAAATCAGGTCACGAGCTTTGTTTACATGAGCGACATGAACGATCCGATTACGACGTGTGGGTGCATGCACCAAACATGAAAGCACTGTAACGTGCAGAGACGTCCTGTCGGTCTAATCTGACAGAAACAGCAGAAGAAGAAGAAGAAGAAGAAGCTGCTCGTTCCTGTTGGCATCTTGTGTACGTCAGGTAGCTAACGGGTGTGAGTCAATAAAGTTTTTCTCAGGAGTGAGATCCGTTTCACACAGAACTCAAACAGACCCGCTGTGAATTTATTAACATTAAAGTCTGTTTTTTTCTTCTTCTTCTCTTCCTGATTAATCTGCGAGTTTAGCAGTACATAATCGCCCTGTGACTGATAAACGAGAGAGAGTTCAGGTCTGCCGGAGGACTTTCAGACAAACTCCGTAAGAAGAGTTTCACCTCGACCAGGAAAACACGAGCCAAACAAGCGTTATCGTGGATAATGATCAGAACAACAATCGGCAGAATCCAGCCCTCTCGTTCAGAATAAAATGTCTTTCCGAAAGAGGCGGGTTGGATCAGTGAAGCGCTTTGATTCTGGAAGGGGTTTTATTCCGATTATTTGTGTCCATGTAAACATAGCTTGTGTGCAAGTCTGCAGAATCCGTCTCAGTTTTTCAGCTGCAGGTTTGATGACTTCTCTAGACCTCGATCAGGATCAGAGGTTTTAAACTCAGCCAGAGGAACAAAAAACAGAAAGCGCTTTTCAGTATCATGTGATCTCTCCTGATATGTTTATTGTATTGTTTAGTTTGATGTTTGTCACATCGTCAGACCTCCCGTTTATATTTCATTCGTTTATACTTCCTGTAACCTCTCAGCTTTGGAACACAGAGTTACAGCAGAGAGGAGTTGTGTTTACACATCTGCTAAACATCACTTCTTCTTCTTCAGACTCATTTTCTATTTATAATCTGTTTTTCATTTTTCACTCATATGTGGAAGGGTTAAACATGTCTTGTGATCATGATTATTCCCATTTCTCTCTCTCTCTCTCTCTCTCTCTCTCTCTCAGTGATTTTATTGATAAACCAAAAAAGGGCGGGGAATATTCCTGGGCGGCCATGAATCCTTGGAGAATCTGCAGTTTTACAAAGTTAAAACGTCAATGATTGTAAAACCTAATCCTGAAAACGAGTTTTCAATTAATTGAAGGTCTTCTTTCAGCGCCTTTTGAGCGCTTATGCGGGTGTGTTCTGTAACCCTAACAACGGGATCTAGCCTACTGTGCAACCATGCCGGAGCCGGCCAGAGCACGATGCATCAGTTTAGCACAGAAAAGAACAAACGGGACAGGAAGTCAGACACTGATACAACATTAAAACATCCGGGTTATTTTCAGAATAAAACTCTCCGTTTTGACGGTTCAGAAAAACGACCGTTTGTGTGTTTGTTTACGTGTTTATAAGGTTTGTATTGAGTTTTATACCACAAACATCGTATTATCTCGTGCTGTTGCGAGTGAATCTGTAACATCACCGTGGTAATTGTTATTGTCTAATAATCATTGTTTCCGTACTCCAGCTGTCCGGCTGTGCTCTCCGTGCTGCAGACTGAGAACGCAGCCGGTGGGTGTTGACGGATGAGGATGCACACATATCTGGAGGAAGTTCTCCGTTTTTGGGTGCATGACATCTTTTTGGGCACTGGTAACTAGGGACGTAGGTTACTACTCGTCCTGATTGGTCAGCTGTTAGAAAGGCGCTTGACGTCACCCAGCGCTTTTCTGAAAAGTTGAAATAATTCAACTGAAAAAGGCGTCCGCTTTTTAAAAAGGCTTCATACTTTTTCCTTTTTCCATAGGCTTGTAGGTAAAAAAGGCGCTGGCAGTTGAAAAAAGAAGTCAAGTGTGAACATGGTCTTATATAACTTATTGTTTTAGCTTCATGTTACTGTTCACTTATCCCCTGCTAATAACTCAACAGTGCATTCCTTGGGAACTACTTTCAGACAGATTCATACACACATGATGTCCGAGGGCGTATTTACACACCGGGACAATGTATATGTGACTGAGTGTAGTTTCACATTGAAGACCAGGCCCGGATCCGAGTACGCTTCAGCCCAAAGTCCAGTTCATTTGAAAAGAGTGATTACAAACATGCTTTACTTGTACCGTACAGTCCGCAGGAGATGTGAACGCAACCGTGCTCAAAAAACTAAGTGGATCGCTATATGACGTCATTCTAAACATCTTCTGTCGCTTCAAAAACTGTCGTATCCGCACAGCACGGGCGGTTTCATCCTCTGAGCTGCACGGTAGATGTGGACGCACGAAGAGGGTCGGGGTTTGGCATCTCAATAATAACAAAAACATCCACAGTTAGCAGGATGGACTGTGGAAGGTGTTTGCCATGGTGACTTCTCCTTATTTCTGCTTTTTAACGGATTTGCAAACCAACTATGTGCATACTGTCACCTGCTGTATCCGACTGTGTACATTTGTGTACTCGGGTACAGAGCGATGTTACTAATGTGAACGCAGAGCAGCGGAGGAGAGAGAGCAATTGTGCTTGGACCCGGTACGAAACAATCGCGTCTGGTGTGAAAACTGAACAGCTGTGAAGGACTGTTAGATAGTCTCATCTGTGTTTACGGGCGGACAGCTCTTACCTCTGGATGTCAGAAATGAGCCACCAGGCCCAGGACCAGCCTCCCACCACATATGTTTTCTCATCTGAGCCACAGCAGCCACCTGTGGAGCAAAGCAGAAGAAACAGGTCCCATTAGTGTCATCAAGAATAACAGAGTATCATCAGAAAAACACACACAACACGACTGTCCCACTACAGCAGCAGGTTTGAGCAACATCTGTGATTGAAATGCTGACCTATGTCATAACTGTGTTGAGATTTGAGTCAACAACTTTGTCAAGACAAAGCACCACACTTCAGCTTGTCCACCTTCAAAATAAAAGCACCACATGTAATAATGTTTACAAAGGAAACTGAAATCCACAAAGCAGAGAAGTAAATATTTAACTGATACAGTGTGGACAGTGAGCGTCCGATCGTGTGCGATATGATGCGATATCTAATGCTCGTGTGCTGTTAGGACACGGTGTGACTTAAATGCTTTTATATCACAGAAACATTTAAACACCAAAAGCTTTCAGTGAAAGACCAGAAAAAATGTTACTGAATATTGTAACTTACAAGGTTACAACTCGCATAAAGATTCAGATCATGAGGTGAATGTATGGTGAATGACTCTGCAGAGGGCGCTAAACGCTTGTCCTGCAAATCCCCGACATGAAACCAAGAGTTTTACCAGACGGCTTCAAGCCTCCACGTGAGCCGCTGAAACCTCTTACATAGACTCTCTTCTCCCAGCCCTGAAGCGGCTGAAATTAGGGTTTTTACCGAGTAACATGAGCACATCCACAAGATGAGTGCACAAAGCTCTTAGATTCAATCGAATGTATATATTATTTTTTTTAAAGTCCTATATTCAATAACAGAAGAATGTTTTTAAGGTGAAGACAAAGATCCAACACCAGATAGTGACTCAGTTATCACATCCTGCTTGTGGTTTCAGATGATCATGTACTCTTGAGAAAGTCAGAGAAACAAGCAGCACTACATTTATTCTTCCAACCACAGCGCCACAATGTTTACTCCTCTGGTGAAACACGGAGCAGCACTTCAGATGCCTCTCTTCATCTCTTGGTTTGGCACTCTTCCTCTCACACACTCACAGTTATCATGATCTACTGTGTCACAACAAGGCGGGATTCGCCAGCAAGATGTGTAACACCTGTTTAATCTGCTTCCTCATTACTCACCAATTTTTAATCGTCTTCATGTAGAACATCAAGTCAGCCTTTCTAAACACCATGTGCTCATGTCAGTGCAGAATGTGGTTTGTTGTAATTCTGACAGTTATTGTGATTTAATGTGAAGTAACTCTAGTCGTAGGTCATGAACTGATGAGTCTCATGATGAAGCAAACTGACAAACACACATTTCTTTCACACAGTATGCTTCTAATGTTTTTCATTCCCTGGAAGGACAATAAAGGGAGTTTATGTATTTTACATATTTTTAGTCCTAATGACTAACGTATACAACATGTTTGGATTTTTCCCTGGTAATCTTTTCATGGTTGTGCCATTATCTTCCATGGCATACACACCTGATAAAGTCAGTTCATTAAAAGTGCCTTTTATGCCACTGACAGGATCACCTTTTTACTCAAAGTGTTAGACAACAGATAGACCATTAAATGGTGCTTCAGCACAGTATGGGTCACTGTGTGAGTGCGCCCTTAGTCATCCTTTCTCTAATGTTGGTTTGTGGACCCCACTTTAATGACACACAGAAACACACTAACAGAGATATCTGATTTGAACCTCATGTGCTTTCACCCTGCAAACACAGCAATGTGGACGTAATAATAGTGAAAGAGACGGTAAGCTCTTTCCACACCAGAGTACACCAGAGTCCCCCTCCCTGGCCCCCAGTCTGATGTTTTAATCTGCTGTGTTTAGTGTGACATTCCCAGCTGTCATGCGTTAACTGACGGCCAGAGGAGGGGGAGGAGCGGGCACTAGCTTTACTGACACATTCTCACACCCACCACGACCCAAAACTACAGCGAGCGTCATCGACCCACAACTCGCACACGCTGTTGATGTTAAACATTCCTGTCATCAGGGTAACGGTTGCAGAAAGACTCTTTTAGGGTCATTCTGGGGCATTTTAACTTACTCTACAAGACACCGCCTTCTTCCTGGTCTTCACACAAATCATACCCTCTCCTGGTGTGACTGAACACAACCCCTCAGGAAATAGAAGCATAACAATGTGCAGAGCAGGAAAAATGCACAAAGTAAGAATTAGAAAGACTGAACCACACTCTCAGTATGACAATGGCTGCGGTCCAACAGGCTAATTTGGATCTATACACCGTTTTAGCCCTGCAGGTTCCAGCACATACCTCTGGCATAATTGGGATTCCTGACCACGCTCACTACACAGAGGCCTGAGGAGGGGCTCAGTGTGGATGAATGGAAGTTTACACAGGCTACAAAAAAATCCTGTCGTCAACTTTTGTGGAGGCAAGACTTTCCCCACAACACACGGAGAAGGTGGCGATATTGCACGTGATGCCTTTTTTCACAGCAGGAAATTGCAGCAACCAACCTCCCTAAACATTTCTCATTAGTGGAATCACACTTTCTTGAAATCAGGATGTGCAGCTCACACACAGACATACACTTCTACTCCCAACCCTCTTTGTGTTGACTGACACCATCTTAAATGTTTGTTTACAATGGAAAATCCCACCGCTCTGTTCTCTGACTGGACAGACCAACTCCACTGAAAGATTCAGTTACAAAACACCCTTTGTGCTTTAATACTTATTAACTAGGACAAGATTTCTCAACAGAGTTAAAGGTCAGTATCTCACGAAGAGAGGCCTGAGGATGCATACCAGTTCAATGATGAATATGTGACAATTTGTTTCCTGACGTCTTAGTCTGTCACAAGAATTAGTGACAGACTAAGATCTGACAGTAGCGGTTTCAGCAGTCAAGTGGCATGTCACTGTCATGCCAGTGTTCGCAGCATGCCAGTTTTACAGTGACATGTGTGCTCTGTTTTGCGGTGTGCTAACATAAGTTGAATGATATCTGCAATGGCAGATGTATGTAAATTATTATCAGTGGTCTTGTCTACGGCATTTACTGCCATTAATGGGACATGTTTTATGTATTATCGATAACGTGAGTGCAACATAGTGATGTAATTCAATTCATGTTATTTCTTCACATCTCCTTCATGACATTTGAATAGTCTAATAAAAAAATCTTTGCCAATGACACGAGTAAGCTCGTAGCAAAGCTAATCCCAGCTAACAAGGCTAGCCTAGCCACCGTAGCCAGACAGAATAATCGATAGCAGAAAGGGTTAAATCCCACTGGTACGCAACCTCTGCACTGAAATACTTTTAAAGGCTATTCTGTTGAAACACGGCATTAACCGTTTCCTTCCGGCATATTTGTGATTGCTATAGATGTTGGGCTGCATATTGATTGCACTTTATATAGTTTCACTCTAAGATCTTTTGTATCACACATAGACTGTATATCACGTGGTCAATAAGGACATAAAAAGTACACATTCATGGCAGTAAATGCCGTAGCACAAGACCACTGATAATATAAAACATGGAGGTGAAGGGTGGGCGGTACTGGTCTGAGAGAGGAGTGGTACATGGCGCTGGCCCCCTGCCGGCATGACATCCTCTACGGCAGATACCACAGGACTTAAAGCCCCGTTTCCACCAAGTGGTCCGTTTGGTTCAGTGCAGTTTGGTTCAGTGCAGTTTGGTTCAGTCCGGTATGGTAAACCCTGGTCTTACTTGCGTTTCCACAGCCAACCACACCATTATTTGGTCAGAGGAGTGTAAGCCAGATGGAGATAGCTGCATCAGCTATGCAATAGTGTGACATCATAGCAGCCCAACACAGTTTAGCCCACTATTAATCAAGTTCAACGAAGAAGAGGAGCAGGGACACCGTTAAAAAAAAAGGACCCTTTACGGTCGGATCGGTACCTCTGGCACCCTAACAGAAGGGTACCAGGAAAGTAGAACGGTACGGATCACTTATTTTGGTACGATTCCCAACTTCTGACATGGTGGAAACGCCAATAAATGTGTACCATACAGAACCAAACTGAACAGGACCAGCATTACAGTGCCATGCCATGCAAAACTGAGCACACATGTTGCTGTAAATCTGGCATGCCACGAATAACACTGTCATGCAGGTGCTCCGGAGTGGCATGCAGCATGGCAGGCTTCCAGCTGTTTGTTTCCTTAAACATTACAGAAAAAACACTTCCATGCTTTAAGTACCAAAGCATTTGATCAGAAAGCCTCTGTTTGGCTTCTTTTATTTTGTATTTATTTCATAGGGGTCTGTCCGGGATTTAAACACGTCGTGTGTTTCCTGTGTCAATGGGACATCAGCAGACGAGTTTGTCATGGCTTCCCCCTGTAATCTAATTACATTTGCTGTAGTCATTTTGCAGCACTGAACCACCATAGCTAACCACCACCCCTTCAAGAATCAAAAACACGAGTATAAACTCGATAACCATCCTTTCCCATATCTCTGTTCCTAAAGACAGCCCTACAATGACTACTTTAAAAAAAAAAAAAAAAAGAACAAGTGGAAGAGATTTGATGAGGAAACATTTCCTTTTAAATAAACCAAAATGAAAACAGATGAGGAACCAAAACTCATCCAACCCCAGCCACAAACATTTCCAGACAAGACCTAAACATTTAAGTGCAAATCTCCAGGACGGAGAGGGGGGTGGAGTTGAGAGTGAAGGCCGAAGACGGGAGCTAAGAGCCGGACATGGGGCCGGAGGTCTCCCGCTCTCTTCCTATAGCATCTTTACACAGACTACTAGTATTTAACATGGAAAACAGGTGGCTTTATAAGGACGTAATGACAGACATAATAGCAGGAAATACGCAGAAATGGTGGTTCTTAACGGGATCGTTCGTCGGTGGACATTTCTTAAAATCTATTTCTTATTTTTATTTTATTTTAACGGTAATCACGACTTTTTAAAAAACCTTCGATTTTTGTTTGTTTTAAAACTAGCGTAGAGTAGGAACAAAGCGCTACGTTACATTTGAATTAAATATCGATTGAAAGGTGAGGAAAGTGATTTTTAAAACCTCCATCGAGCAGGACAAACACATCGTAACGTTACCTGAAACCACAAGGGCCTCGTTCGGTCCCACGGTGTGGCAGTTTCCCATTTTACCGACAGAAACGATTCTTCTCCGAACTCACTAGACGCATAAAAGGGGAATTCAGCTTCCAAACACTATTTTCTCCTGATGTTTATTTCAAGTAAGACTCAGAACTCGATGTTTGTTTTTTTGTTTTTTTTACAACCCAACAGTCGAGCAATGGCTGCGTCGAGTCAGGCGTTCTACGACGACGCACTTCCTCTTTCAACTTTCAAAATAAAAGTATTTGTTGTAAACAGGTTGTGTATGAAATCACACACTCGTACAGTAAGGAAAAGTTGTGAATACTCCTCCGGTCGTTGACAGGGACACAACAACAATAATAATAACAATAATAATAATAATAACAACAACAACAACAATAATAATAATAATAATAATAATAGGAAGAAGAAGAACAGTAACTATTCATTTTGAACTTTTTAAAACGTATGGTTACAATGTTAAACCGTGGTTCTCTGAGTGAAGAGACTGTAGCCTAAGTAGCTGGAGAGATAGGGGAGGGTAGGTCTCCAACCAGAGGCGCTGCTTGTGAACAGGTAGGGCAGGCAACTGCTTGGTGCCTAAGACTAGTAAGGGGGCTCCTTGAGGGCTGACAAAATTAAACCAAAGCACCTGCCCTAAATGAGAACATTTTGCAACGACAGTAGGAAACCTCCCTAAGGGGGGCACCATCTGACAGCACTCACTCTCGTTGTCCTACTAAGCGTTACATGCATGATTGCTGTGAAAACCAAAGTTTGCCAATGTAAGTCAATAAAGAAAAATGAAGAGGAAGTTTCCATCTATAGAACGCATAAGAACCCAAACAACACCAAAAAGACAAAGACAACACAACCGTAAAGTTAACCAAACAACAAAGTACCATTATTGCTGATACACAACTCAAACGTGGAGCTTATAGTCCCCATAAAAGGGAAAAAATTATAATTTCCTGGCTTTAATCAAATATATTTCAATAAAACATCATCTAAGTATTTTTTTTTTTTTAACATCTATGTAACTGTATTTTCTTTTCCTGTAAAATGTTCCAAATGTCTGATGACTCATCCTGCACTGTCTAACGCCACTTACTGCTCATAAAAATCTTTGAACTGCAATGCATGATGGTATATATTGCTTGGATTGTGACCATCGGTTGTACACTATGTTTCACAATGCATTGTGGGATACATTGAGTGCACTAGGGTATGATAATGCTCACTCCACCACTACAAAACGTCTTATTCACTTCACAGATCGCAGGATTTCAGACACAGCCCTGGTTTGAAGCGCTCGTTTAGGTTTTATTTTGAAGGCCACTTCCATCTACTTCCGCTTTTCTTTGACTACAAATTGACCGAGATGATCAGGTACCCCTCCCCTCTATTCTGCCCCTCCTCCTCCGCAATTTCATAAAAAAGGGTGTGGGTGTTTAAATTTCCTCTCACGCATGTAACCTAAACCAGAATCATATCAAACCATACTCTGCCTTTTGTGTGAGGCCTGTTCACGTGCTTATTCGCGGGCTTTGAAATCATTGTCTTGCCTGCAGATTGCTGTGATAGCAACAGTTTTTAAAAAGCAGCAGCCTATGTGAGGACTATAACAGGGTGGTGACCGAGGAGTGTTATGTGCAACACCGTGGGTGCATTGATCTCTTTTTCTACAACATGAAAGTGAACGACGTCGTTGGGTATTTCACTGAACAGAAACGTGATTTAATTAATGATAGAAAAAACAGATAGTTTAGGCTACATGTAGAAGCCCTGCATTCAAAACTTTGAAACATAAGTATACAATAGGGGCTGCAGCAGCTCAGTCTGTGGGATTCAGGGACTCGGGCTGGGAACCGGAGGGTCCAGGAGCGTACCAAGCCTGGGTCTAGTAGCTGCAGAGGTGCCAGTTCACTTCCTGAGCACTGCCGAGGTGCCCTTGAGTAAGGCACTGAACTCTCAGTGTGCAGCCCCCTCACTCTGACATCTCTCCATCAGTGCACGTCCACAGGATCCTGTTTGTGTGTGTTTCAGCCTGTGTGGTATAAAGCTCAGATAACTTCATGTTAGTGTTATTGTTGATAATAAAAATCTGACATGGTAAACATCCTCCTACATGATGTAGGAGGATGTTTCTTGTTCTTGAAGTGAGAGGTTAATCAGGAGGATTGAATGGGAACTCTACATGTCACAGTTTCTTAAAGAGCTGAGCACCTCTAAACTAAAATTCTAAAATCTCTCCTGCCTTCGACTCTGTGCTCAGTGACGTCAGAGCACTGGATTCTTGTGTGCACGCAGAACTGATTTAGTCATCGTTCACGATTATTGAGAGACCCAACTCACATTTCTCCATGACAGCCAAGCCACAACCTCCGGTGTTGAAAAATAAAGCAGATCCTGAAGTGTAAAATCCTGCAGTTCCTGAGTGTCCACTGGAGGCTGGCTGCAGAAGCACAGGAAGTCACATACACACCCATTCTAAAAAGCCTGTTTTTACAGCAGAGATTAACATGTTTACAGCCTGGTTCGAAAAAACAAATAGGTCTGATTAGCTCATGTCTCGATCGACACACACTGTACGGGGGGGTGAATGTTTTGATGACTCATCAGTTTTGATTTGATGAAGGATAAGAGTTTTTCACAATAAGGCGTGTAGCTGACCTGATTGACAGGTGGGCACGGTGTAACAGTTTGTCAGGAGGCTTAAAACCCGCCTCAGCTCCAGCTCTCAGCCTGTCGTTAGGTTGACTGAAAGTTAGACTGAGACAGCATTTCCAGCATGGAGTCTGCCCTTGATGGGACTCCAGCGCCTCCTGCAGGAACAGACGGGTGACGTCGCTCAGGCCTCTTCCTTGTTTATTTACAGTCTATGGTATACAGCAGATGGTGCTGTTTGTGTCATGACATCCATACATGTCTGGTCACGCCCGTCTGATGTCCTGCCCCACCAATATCTAACCACGCCCCCATCCCGCATGCTGCCTCACGAGGTTATTGATCTAAACAGTATGCCACACACAGGATTTCACTTTTTCTCTGTTACAGTGGTCCTCTTTGCACTTCCACAACCAGAAGAGGAGACCTTGAGGCTTCAACAGAGGAAAGATTTATACGTTTATTGATTTTCTTGGGCTTTTCTTGAGCAGTTTGTACCAGTTGTCTACTTATTTAAGGTGTCCATTCAAAGGAACACACCTGCAGTATTACAACCTTTGACCTCCAGAGTTTAGATTCAAGGAGTAATGCTGAAGAGGCGTGGCACATCCTGTACTCAGCCTGTCATCAACACTGTACTTAGACTAGAGACCAAATGTAGGACTCTAATAACACCTTACCAGTAGCCTCTGTACACTCAGTGAATCAGCTGATTATGGGTGTTGGGGGGGGGGGGGGCAGAACCTGGCTCACTCAGCAGACACAGAGTACAGGATCAGATGGGATCTCCTAATTTACTGTATTGACTGACAATGTTTGGTTACAGGTCTCTGTGCCCTCAAAATATATTTAAAAAATATATATTTCCCATGAGGTCTGCAGATGGACATGTGGGAGCTGCGGTACCAGAGGACAAGACATGCTCCAGGGCAGGAAGTGAATGGGACTCGGCCGGTTCCTCTACAGCCAGCATGTGAACATGTGACACATCTCAAAACTGCTTACACAAACACTGATGTGACATAGCATGAAATCCTGCTGTACTGTGTGTGCCCTGATCTGCTGTGAGGGCAGCAACTGCTAGCTAACTAACAGAAGATCATCAAGATTCAAGATCCAAGATGTTTATCGTCACTCTGGTTATAAAAGTACCATCGTAGGAGATTCTTGTGCTAGGAGGCTCCTTTGACAAAGGGTAGGTATTACATATAAACACAAAGGCTGTCAGCTTTTAGTTAATCATGATTAATTAAGGTCTGATGTTAATGCATTCATTTTTTAACCACGTAATCTTGTGCTATTTTGCCTCTCAGGCTCACCGTAGATAGTCGTCCTCAGTGTCTGTAAAAGAATGTAAAAGAAGGACACTGCTGCACCTTTGAATGTCTCATTTCACTTTAACAAACTCTCAGACAGCTCAGCTGATGAGTCCAAAGTAATATCCACCTCATGACATCTCATATTGACCTTTGTTTCCGTTCCTCTGATCAGTTTGGGATCCCTAACCACTTCCTGTTTCTGTGCTTAACTTTATGTCCTAACCTTCAGTCTACATGAAGGGCCTTACTTTAATTCAAAATAAAAAAAAACAAGTCAAGTACTCCGAGATAAAGACAGGACAAGTTGTTGTTGTTTTAAAATTATTTAAAAGTCTTACAGCCTGGTGGAAGAAGCTGCTCCTCGGCCTGCTGCTGTGAGCTTTTGGAGTCGTGTACCTCCGACATGAGGGCAGCGGTGAAACGTTAAGTTTTGTGGGTGTGATGAAGTCGCCTGTTAGGAGGACAAAGACTCAAAAGGTCATTGGTGGTTTGCACAATAAAACATTTAACAGACTCCCTTTAAAATGTTTCCCTCTGCCCTGGACTAAAGCTGTATTACAGTCACTCACGCTGTGCACTGATTCACATTCAAACCTCACTCTGCTATTCCAACAAGCTGAAGTGCCCGCTCTATCCAGCAGGGGGTGCAAACACACAAAACATCATGGTGACAGACTGACCAGCATGTAACATGACCTCACATATATGGTGTGGATGTCTTTGACCTGATCCTGAGATATTAGATGATGTAAACTGTACCTTATGTTCTCTTTTATTCACAATGTGATCGATAGAGTCACTCTGTCAGACACCCCGAGCTCCTTTTAACCACCTTAAGTGATAAAGTAAGGTCTGAAAGTTTGTCTAATTAACATGAAGAATCCTAGCAACGGTTGCTATGAGGAGGGTGCTCTCTGATTAGTGGGTCAGCAGACCAAAAAATCAAAAATCAAACTCATTGAAATTTGAATTCACTTCCACATAAATAGAGAAAAAACACACTGGCTGAGTCTGAAACCACAAATTACAAACTCAACATAAACATACTGCATACTAACCCAAACTTAAATGGAGTTAGCGTCACATTAAAACAACTAAAAGGCTACAAACTCCTCAACAGAAACTTTGTTTGAAACAAAGATATTCTTAGACACCTTTGATTTAACATGAGTTACATATATGAGCTTTCCAAGGTTATTAATCATCCATGATCCGAGCTTTAAACATGACCCTCTTTCAATCTGAAGACAGGGAAACTTTCCATCCTTTTTTTGATGAGCAAACATCATGAAGGAATCACAGAACAGAGTTTTATAACTGAGACAAACTTGCTCTCAGGAGCCTTGCACAGCAAAAATGAAAGAGTTGAAATTTCAGGGTTAAACATTTCAGAGTTGATTTCAACTCCCAATGTGTGTTTTTAACTCATTCTGATTGAAATGGTGTTTAGTTAGGGGTTGTTTTAAAGTGTTGATCCATTAGTATTGGTCAACTGTCGTCCAACTCTGCAGAGAGTTAATTAATCCAACCTCCGTCCAGGTTTCCCGCTCAGTTCACTTTGTCGGTTGGAGACACAGAGAAGAGTTATGAAAATGTTCCTCCTCTGCAGTTCTACACAGTAAGTAAAATACATGCTATAATGTAAAAAAGTAATGTGATTCTCTGAACAACTGTAATATACTATATCTGTGGAGATTATCTACTTTAAAAGGACTTGTGTGTTGCCATGAACTAAATGGCAAACACAGTGATAAGCTAATGTTAGCAAGCTGCCTCATGCAGTAAGCTAACCCTTAAAATCATTTCAACGTTATAAATGAAAATAAATAAGGCAGTTTTAAAGCTGGTAGCAATTACAATATGCTTTTTTATGTTTACATTTTGAGATTGAAGCTAATGTTTCTCTGTTTTTTTGGGGTTTTTTTAACCCCACTGTCCCAGCATGAAGGGCACATGTTTCTCATGTATATAGTTGCCCTGTGAGCATCACCAGCATTACCCTTTTTATTTCCTCCTTTTGTGTTAATTAACTTGGTCAAACTTTTATTTCAGAAAATATGCTGGTTCCAGTAAAATACAAACAACTACAGAAGTATGTGAAGTTGGAGGAGGTTGACTACATGCAATTTCATGAAAAAGGTGAGTAAATTAATGCATTTTTTCATTCATTATTTTAACTTTGATTTTACCTGAGATGGAATTGTTTTTTTGAGGGAACTTTATTAACATTATCCTTGTGTATAATTTATATTTCCCCAGTCATGCTGCAGTCTGGAGGAGCATCTCCGCAGCCAGCAGAGTCTGTATCCATACCTCCTCCCTGTTGGACTTCAGAAGAGCAAGATTGACAGCTTCTACATCACCATGGATAATCATCTCATCCCATGTTGGGCAAACTGCTTCCTCTGGGCATTTGATGAACTTTTTTAAAGCACATTTTGTGTTTAACATGTCTTATGATGCAGCATTGGTGAATTTTTACACATTCTTGAAAAAAATGTGGTAGTTGTATATTGTACCTTCATTTACAATGTATTGATTTACAGAGAAAATAAAATGTCACTGTTTGAAAATTACTTTTTTTTTCCTTTTTTTTTTAAATCATTCTTTAAATAATTTTAACACTTTGTAGTGTAAATACCTGACACTTAATGGAGTGAAACTAACACTAGCCAGGTAGTAAAAAAAAAGTGTCATAGCAGAGTTACTTGTCTAATCCCTAAGTGTTATTTATTTACATTCTGTTTAGCGAGTTGAAAAGGGAACTCTCTCTCAGTGTTAAATGTTTAACTATTTCAAAAGTGTTAATTTGACTCTAGAAAGTGTGGAGCTATATAAACCCTGAAAAAGGGTTGAAATCCACCCTGTCGGACAGGTCTTGGAGTTGCCGCATGCTGAGGTAATCATTAAAGATAATAAAAAGAAAGGTTATAACACCCAGTGTCGCTTCAATCCCAGTCAACCTTTCCATGAAGTCGGGGCCCAGAGGAGTGACAGAGGTGACACAGCAGGGAGCCGACATGGAGCCGCAGCAGTTCAGCAGACCGACATGGAGCAGGCAGATAGAGTTCACGCTGGCCGGCATCGGCTGTGCAGTGGGTCTGGGCAACGTTTGGAGGTTCCCATATCTCTGCTACAGGAGCGGAGGAGGTGAGAGAGAACAAACCTGACATTTCAGACTGTGTTGTGAAACTAGACCATCGTCTGTACATACACACTGGTCCCGCGGCGGGGGTCCAAAGGTGGACAAACAGTGCTGAGGGTGAGAACTCTGTTCTGCTGTCAGACTGATTGTGTGAAAAATGTACAAATTGTTCAGAAGAGCTCAGTGTGTGCTACAAACAAGAATGGCCTTGTACTGTTGTACTGCATGTTTACCACCATAACTTCACTATCTATTTCAAATGACACTTCCTATAAGGCCGAGAATTTAATTGCATATGACGCTAAAAGAAGGTTAAAGATGAGAGGTTATCATGACACTACCGGACCTCCTTTGACAAATGTAAGTGAAAGTTTGCCATGTCCTCCTGCCAGGTGCCTTCCTGGTGCCCTACCTGTTGATGCTGGTGGTGTTGGGGATCCCTCTGCTCTACATGGAGCTGACTGTGGGTCAGTACACCAGGAGAGGACCGGTCCATGCCCTGGCTATTGTCTGCCCCCTCTTAAAAGGTATTCTGAGGCAGGAGATGTGTCCCCCCTTTCTAAAAAGTGCCCACACTGCTTATACACTTTATTTACTTGATCTGTCCTCAGGTGTGGGTTTAGCATCAGTGGCCATCTCCTTCATAATGTGCACCTACTACAACGTCGTCATCACCTGGGCCCTCTATTACCTCTTCAGCTCCTTCCAGGTGCCGCTGCCTTGGCAGAACTGCAACAACACCTGGAACACTCCAAACTGTACCAACCACGCCACCAACAGCAGCTACTCCTCTACTGCCAGCCAGGAGTTCTTCAGGTACTTTTTGCTCTGCATAGGAGAAACAAAACAAAGTTTCTTAGACACGTAAACCAGACAAGGTAATGATTTCTCTGTAGCTGTCCTTTCACAGGCGGCTGGACTGTTTACAATTGGACATTTTTAATCAGATTGGTAATAGCCATTCATTATCGATATCGCTTTTCCTGTTCAGGGTCGCTGGGGGGCTGGAGCCGATCTTAGCTGTCAGTGGGCGAGAGGCAGGGTTACACCCTGAACTGTTCACCAGCCAATCACAGCGCTGATATAGAGACAGACAAGCAGCCACACTCACATTCACACATACGGACAAGTCACCAGTTAACCTAACGAGCATGTCTATGGACTGTGGGAGGAAGCCGGAGTACCCGGAGAGAACCCACGCATGAAATACTGAAATAATGAAATGGCCGACATTGAAATGCAAAGGAAGCTTCCAGCAGCCTGTTGTAACACAGCCAAAATAGTTGATCTGAACAAAAGTCTGAACTCTGACAAGTCAAACAGCCAATCATAGTTCAGGATTTTGGGGTGTACAATCAGATTTCTAGTGTTGCCCTGGCCTCCCCTGGCTCCGCCCCTGCAGGCGTCACTTATTATTTATTTTTATTTTTTTATCTGTAAAGGGAACCCACGCATGAATACATGCAAACTCCACACAGGGAGGCTCCTGTCAGATGGGGCCTTCTCGCTGGCAGCAGCGCTGACCAGCCCAGGGGGGTTAAACAGTAATAATCTTGATACACAACATTTACAAGTGTAATTGACAACATCTTATCAATGTCATGTCATGGGTATCAGTCAGAGAAAAGGTATTAATTCAAGCTTGGCTCCACCTCCAGGAAGTGAGGGAGGTCAAATGTTAAGTCGGTGTAAGAAGTTATCATCATTGGACAGATGAGCTTAAGATGTTCCCGCTTAAGAAATTATTTATTGATTATTAAAGTTCAGACACGTGTTGGCCCTGTTGGTTAAAAAGGAGGATCATTCTGGATCTTCTTCTGCTGAGTCAGTGGGGGGATTAATCACGTTTTCTAACTAGTTACTGTTTAACTTTTAAACTGCAGGAAGTGGTGGGAATGGAAGTTGAGGTTACGTCAGTTAAAGCCACAGTGATTCAGACTTTGGTGGTGAGCTTCAAGACAAATATTGACAAAATAATTTATTTGAAAACATATAAAAGTCATGCAAGCACTTGGCTCATAAAATAGGACGAGATGATTGTGTAAGATACCATTTTTAGGTACAAAATATATAAACATTAACATGAATATATCATCGTTCACCATTATGGATCAAAAAACATGAAGAGGCGCAGAATGGTGCCCTGTAGGACACCAGATGTTTCTGCTTTCCGGTCTATTTTAAATCCTATTGTCATGACAACGGAAACATTGTTAGAGGATCTTTTCGGTTTACAGCAAAGTTTATTATTCCCATAAATGTAGAATGTAACTGTCTTTGTGCATCACTGATCCACTCTGTCTCCTTCTGGGGGAAGATATAAGATGCTGGAGCAAACGAGTGGAGTCGAGGAAACAGGAGAGATGCGTTGGGAGCTTTTCCTCATTCTTATTCTTGCTTGGATCCTCATCTATCTTTGCATCTTTAAGGGGGTGAAATCAACAGGCAAGGTGAGTGAACAGAAAAGAAACATACGGTCACACATGTCAACGGCTCGTAAAAAGGACAAGGCCTAATGTTAGGATTTGAAGTTTTACGGTATTCAGAGGGAGAAGAGAGAGATGGACGGTCAGTGTATGATAACCTTTGTGTGTTTCTGTTTGCAGGTCGTGTACTTCACAGCTCTGTTCCCGTATCTTATCCTGGTTGCACTGCTGATCAATAATGCGCAGCTTCCTGGAGCTATAGATGGAATAATATTCTTCATCGTGCCTGAATGGGAGAAGCTGCTCTCCGTGGAGGTTAGATTATCGAACAACAATCTGTAAACTTGTATCTGCTGGGTTTTTGATGGTTGATGCTGTCTGTGTTCTATGGTTTTTGGAAGAGGGTCCCTCTGTGTTGCAGGTTTGGGTGAATGCAGCCGCTCAGATCTTTAACTCCATCGGGATTGGATTCGGCTCCCTAATGGCCATGTCCAGCTACAACTCCTTCAACAACAATGTTCTGAAGTATTCAGCATTAAATCAGCTGTGTTATTATTGATGTCTGGGTGGAAAGAGAGTGATATAAGACTTAAAAAAACATCATCTTTCTCCCCAGGGATACTCTGACCATTGCCATCATCAACTCCCTCACCAGCATCCTGGCAGGATTTGTCATTTTCTCTGCGTTCGGATACATGTCTCATCTGCAGGGCATCGCTATCAAAGATCTGGCTGTGGATGGTGAGAAAATAACACAATAAAACGTTTTAATTGGTTCAACCTCAGACTATTTTAATTGAACTACGGTCGAATCCTACAGTATCATTTATATCCAAAAAAGAGAAAAACAAGGTAAATTTTAGTTAGGGTTAAGGATCGAGGGATGAAGGGAGGGGGGGAAGGGTCAAGGATGAAGTGATAAGATTATGGGTCGAGGGATTAAGGGATTAAGGGAGGGGGGGGAAGGGTCAAGGTTGAAGTGATAAGATTATGGGTTGAGGGATGAAGGGATTTAGGGATTACAGGAAACAGGTACAGGTACAGGTACCGGTTGAGGGATGGAAGAAGGTATGTGTTGAGGAGTAAAGGGATGAAGGGATGAGGGTCAATGGTGAAGTTTTTGAAGGGATAAAGGTTAGGGTCGAGGGATGAAAGGAGGGGGGTAAGGGTCAAGGGATGGGGGATGAAGGAATAAGGGAACGGGTATCGGTTGAGGGTTGAGGAGTAAATGGATGAACGGATGAAGATTAGAGAACAAAAAATCCGGAATCGGCCCAGTCTGAGACTGAGACAAGACTGAGTAAAAATTATTTAGATTCCAAGACGAGACTGAGATCTTCAAAAAGTGGTCTCGAACAGAGCATAGGGTGTCTTTATATGCAGATGATCTCCTATTATATGTTTCAGACCCAAATACCTCTCTTCCAGCAGCTCTCTCCCTGCTTGAGCAATTTGGATCTATATCTGGATACAAGATCAATATGCACAAGAGTGAACTGTTTCAAATTAACAGAGAGGCGTTTGACTTAGACTACAGCAGCATTCCATTTCAAATTGAAGAGAGACAATTTACCTATTTGGGAGTGGTTGCTACCCGACAATTTAAGAACCTTTTGAAAGAAAATTTTATTACCCTGTTAAACCAGGTCAGAACATCACTATAAAAGTGGTCCCCTCTCGCCTTATCGCTCGCTGGGCGAATAAACTCCATAAAAATGAATATACTCCCAAAATTTAGATATTTGTTTCAGTGTGTCCCAGTACTTGTTCCAAAATCGTTTTTTGTTTCACTGGATTCCATTATCTCCTCATATATATGGCAGGGCAAGAGGCCTCAAATTAGCAAAGCCCTGCTTCAGAGACCCAAAGGGGACGGAGGTTTGGGGCTCCCTGATTTCCGTCACTACTACTGGGCTACCAATATTCGTTGTATTGCTTTTTGGACTCGCTTTTATCTCCAGCCCGACGGTCCAAACTGGACATCTCTGGAGCTAAATTCATGCTGAGACATCTCCCTCCCTGCACTCCTTGGTGCGCCGCTTGACTGCCCCTTACCAAAAATCACTGGATAATCCAGTGGTACGTCATACCCTTCGGGTGTGGACCCAATTTAGGAGATCCTTTCGATACAAACTCTTTTCCCTTTTGAGTCCGATTGCCTCCAACCACCTTTTCACCCCCTCA